GAGCCAAACTGTTGACAATTGCTAGGAAGCAAAATGTCAACAGATTGAGTTAATGCTCCAGAGAATGACACTTTTGAACCTTATTTTGTGTATTACAATCAAAAGAGAAGGCGTAAATACGTGAAATCCACTGATGAGAGATTAGGGAGCCGTGAGAAAGCAAAGAGGGGAAATCTCTGGGATTGGATAAAAAGTAAAATGATAGACACATCCTTCCTTTACATAGGTGGGTACAGGATAGCTAACAGTCAACAATTAACATGATAATAATAACAATGAGGGGATTTGTGGTTTCCTCCCTGTGCATAGGTTGTGCCCTGAGGCATCTGGGGGAAAAAAAGGAAGTTATTCCACATTCCAAAAGTATGTTATCTTAGATGCTAAAAGACAATAGTCTCCATTAAAGTAAAAATTGACCTTTGTCAGGGAAAATGCTAGCCTGTGACGTGACTACTTGTTATAAACTGTCTTTAGTTAAAAAGTTTAAATTTCAGCCAGGCTGGTGTGGTTCAATGGTTGAGTATCCACCCATCCACCCAGAGGTCATCAATTTGATTCCTGGTCCGGGCACATGCCCAGGTTTTGGGCCCAGTCCCCAGTGGGGGTGGGGTATGCAGGAGATGGCCTATTGATGTTTCTAACTTTTTCTCCCTTCTCTAAAATCAATAAAGAAAAAACATTTTTTTAAAGATTTTTAAAAGTTTAAATTTCAGACCATCCTTTGTGGTTACTTTAGTTCTTTGAGTTTGCAAAGCTGTCACCCAGGCCTTCCCTGAGCCTGTCAGGTTAGCATGTGGTCCCTTTTAATCCACAGTATTGAAACATTTGGATATGATGTAACATTTTTAGGTGATTGCAAGTTCCAGGTAGTGGGCTTAGTTGTGAAAGTCTGAAGTGAAGTGGAGTTTATGACCATTGGAGTTGAGGTCAAATAATTTACCTTATGAGGCTAATATTAAGATGGATCATCTTTGTTCAGGCTACAGTTACTAAGGAGGATGGTGATACTAAAAGTGCAAAGAACAACTATGAACCAGGGACCTACCACACTGCAGAAGCTAAAAGATAAATGTAGGAGAAACAGTTTTCACAGTGCAAAAGTAGTCTCAGTTAAAGCAGGATATGGAAAAAAAAATGAGAGATTACTTCTCAGATGATATAGATTCTACAGGAATTCCATGGAAATACTCAGTCTGGTTAATTCATAGATTAGGGAAAGAAACTTCCAGATATTATTGATAATTTTCAAACATCACTTTAGAAGGGCAATTAAAAAAGAAAAGAGAGTAAAGAATTGACACCTTTGGCATTCCAGTAGCAGTACCCTATGCTCATAAAAATAACTCTTCTGACTGCTATTATTTCCCATTAAAAAAAATTTACAAAATACTCATTCCAGTGAAAACTTCGTGGAGAGTCTCCTCCAATTCTCAGTTTTTTAATTTAGTTAATGTAATTCCTAGTTTTTTGCCTTCGTCCAACATATTTTTAAAGTGGTGGTACTTCTTTTTGTTGTCCCAAGCTGGGTAATGTGGCCAGCGACTTGGAGGACAACAATGTGGATTAGGTTCATAGCTCAGAACCCCCTTTCAGTTCAACCAAATTTTCACCACATCCCTGTGACAGATGCAATCTTCTCAGTTGAGGATAAGACTCTTGAGACTGTTTGTTGACCACACCCTGACAGATTTATTTTATTGGAGCCTCTTTTACCTGTAAGATTAAATGCAAACATATTCCATAAACAAGTGGAAATGTTCTTATCCACACTTCAGATGCTACTATTAACTTAAGAGAAATAAAATATATATAAATACAAGTGCCACAAGAGACTTATAATATGCTCATATGTGATAACAAGTGTGTATGTGCATACACAATTTTCCTCTCACATTGACAATTTGGCATCATCTAAACCATCATTTTTGGCGAAGCAACTTCTGAGATACCATAGTGCATGAAACAGCCTACCTTATTCCAGAATGGAAATGGCTTCCTAGATGAATTTTTATACCCCTTACTTCTTTTCCAGCTGTTGGGTTCTACTGTTTGTCTTAGGGCAACCCTAGTTGGAATATCATCAGAAAGTCTCAGGGACTGAAATGGAACAGATTAGGGCATTTACTTAGAGCTTCATAGCCAGAGGGAAAGAAAGTTTTTTAGCTACAATTGAGGAAGGAAGCAAAGCTAAAGTCAGACTGAGAGAGGAGGTACAGAACATCAGATCTGAAGGTGGGAAAAAGCCAGAAAAGTGACTGATAACATACTAATTAAGCAATCAATATTTATTAAGTGACTCACTGAAACAGGAGCTCTGAATTAAAAAAAATAACTGGTTAAAAAGTGGTGTGCAAGTCAGGGTCGAATGCCATAATCTGATTTATTTGTGGTATCGAATATTTATTGTAAGGTTGAGTCCGAGAGTTTACAAGGATTGCTTAGAAAAGTCAAATGGCTTCTTCCTGAGGAATCGTCAAGCAACCCATTATTTTGGGTGTGCCTTGGTAAATACAGGAACTCTTGTATCTTTCCCTTGTGGTACACAAGAACAATACCTATTTAACTTTTGTATTTTAAATGCCTCTGGCTTCATCCATTTTTGCCTTTTGTCCTTGTTTTTTTGAAAGTCTTAGAGCACGCCCTGGTTAGAACTCCAATTAAGCTTCTTGTCATTGGAGGTTTTTTATTTATTTTATTTTTATTTTTTGCATTTAACTTGAGATAGAGCAGGAGGGAGAGAGAGAGAAAGAAACATTGACGTGAGAGAGACACATTGAGTGGTTGCCACCCACAGGACCCCAACCAGGGCCAGGGACAAACAGCAGCCGAGGTACAAACCAAACCCGGGTCTCTCTGGTTGGTGGCCGACGCTCTAATCATTGACAAATATGTTCTATCATACAGTGGGTTCCCTTTTCATTTTGTTGATGGTTTCTTTTGCTGTGCATAACCTCTTTAGTTTGATGTAGTCCCATTTATTTATTTTTTTCCTTTGTTTCTCTTGCCCTAGGAGATATATCAACAAAAATATTGCTACTAGATATGTGTGAGATTTTACTACCTATGTTTTCTTCTAGGATTTTTAGGTTTTCATGACTTACATGGATGGACCTGGACATTCTTATGTTAAGTAAAATAAACCAGTCAGATAAAAACAAATACCATATGATCTTACTTATATGTGAAATCTAGTGAACAAAATAAACTGATGATCAAAATAGAACCAGAGGCATGGATACATGGAACAGACAGACAGATTTCAGAGGAGAGAGGGGTGGGGGGACTGGAAGAGTTTAGCCAAAGAACATTTATACATATATGCATAGCCCATGGACACAGACAACAATGGTGAAGGCTGGGTGGGTGAGAGAGTGGAGAGGGGCAAAGAGAGGACCAAGAGGGACATCTATAATAATGTCAACAATAATATATATGAATGATTGGATACAGTTGACTCAAGGACTCTTAAAATTCATGAATGAGCAGAAAAAGAAATAGGGCAAGGGGTTGGTGAGTATAGATAGATGTAAGGTCCCAAAGCCTGGGGATGATAATGATAGCAGATCAGGAGTGAATTGTGGTGCTGTAAGTGAGTATTAGTATTGGTTGCTGTTAGTTAAGAATTCTGCTTTTACCAGTGGACACAGACAACAGTCTGTGGAGAAAGGCAGGAGGGGGGTGGGAGCGGGGAGGAAGGAGTCAACAGGGGAAAAAGGAGGAACATCTATAATATATTCAACAATAAAGATAAGTTAAAAAAATAATAATAAAATGAGTAAGTTTAAAATACTTTTAATAAAATAAAATTATGCATCTAAAAATAATAATTCTGCTTTTAATCTAGACAGATAAGGAACTCAAATATTATCTGGGTCTCTTATTAGTTTGTGATAGTCACTTAATGCCTCTGAGTCTGTTTTCTCTTCTGTAAAGTAGAAATAATAATTGTATCAAGTGCTTAACAGAGCCACTTAGCATATAATACATGTTAAATAAATGTGAGATATTTACTTTAAGTTTTCTCTTAGTCCCACAATTTGACTCCTAGTCAGGGCACATGCCCAGGTTGTAGGCTCAATCCCCAGGAGGGGGCGTGCAGGAGGCAACCAATTGATGTTTCTATCTCTCCCCCTTCCTTTCTCTCTCTCTAAAAAATCAATAAAACATTTACAAAAAAGAAATCAGAGATTGGTAAAGCACATTTTGTATGACTCAAAATCTTTTCTATCCATACAGAACACTTTTAACAATATTTTATCAGGAGCTGATATAAAGTCCAAAAAAACTTTGTCCTTTTAGCAGATTAAACAAAATCAAGTGATAGTTTTAGACATATGCACATTATTGTATGGACAAAAAGGGGCCACATACTAAATCTGACAAGCTCAGGGGAGGCCTGCATAGTGGCCTTACAAACTCAGAGACCTAAAGTGACCACATAGGATGGTCTGAAATTAAAAGTTTTAAAATAAAAGCAGTTTACAGTGGGTAGTCATATTCTAAGCTAGAATCTTCCCTGAGAAAAGTCAATCTTTATTCTAATTGGGCCTGTCTATTGTCTTTTCACATCTACAATATCATATCTTTGGAATGTCAAAGTAAATTCCTTTTTCTGGACCCCTCAAAGCACAAACAACACTCAAAACACAGGCACTGCAGAAAACTCTTTTTAGAAATGGAGAAAAACATTTTTTCATAGTGGCTACTATGCCTTCCTTAGGCATTAAGACACATTTCTATTTATACTTAATACAGCTATATTTTTACTCTTTATAAAAATCAAGTCTCCCAGTAAAAATGGTATTTTACCACACTAATCTTTAAATTCCATCACTAAATTTCTAACCTCTTGGAACATTCTGCACAACAGAGGTTAGTCACTGGAATGAGTAATTTGTCAGAAAGCAGCACTGCCTCAGTTGTGATATGATTTGGTAGTCAATGTTCTTGTTTTCCAGTGAAAGGATTTCACAAGCGGAAACACTGGACTCCTTGTGCTTTCATCCATCAAGAGAACGTTTCTGAGCAGGTTCTGAGCAAACATTTCTTAACAGGTTGATCACAGATCTGGGGTCTTCACTCCTCATAATGGCACTGCCAGACACAATCATGTTAGCTCCTGCCTCTGCACACTTATGGATAGTGTCAGGACCTACTCCGCCATCGACCTCTATTTCCAAAGATGGGAACTGAGTCCTTAACCAGTGAACCTTTGGCATCATATCTTCCATGAATTTTTGCCCTCCAAACCCAGGTTCCACGGTCATAACCAAGGCCACATCTATCTGATTAGCCCATGGTGCCAAATACTCAACTGTAGTTCCTGGTTTGATGGCATGGTCAACCTTCATCCCATTCTCCCAAATGTCTTTAATCAAAGCCCCTGGGTTCTTGGTAGCCTCGAGATGAAAGGTATATTGGTTAGCTCCTGCTACAGCCATTGGCTTTACCCACTGTTCCGGCCTCAACACCATCATGTGCATGTCAAAGAAAGGGTCCTGGCCTAGCTGCTTTTGGAGGCTTTTTACCACAGGGTGACCAAAGGTGATGTTGGGAACAAAATGCCCGTCCATTACATCCAGGTGCAGATAATTGGCCCCAGAGTCCAGCATTCGGAGGCACTCAGCCCCTAAACTGGCCAGGTCACTGTTGAGGATGGACAGCCCAATCTTGCAGCCAGGTGCCATGGTGTTGGTTCCCCATTTTTCCATTTTTTGTTCAGATAGAGTGGGAGGGAGAGAGAAGAAGAGAGAGAGAGAAACATCGATGTGAAAGGGACACATCAAGTGGCTGCCACCCGCATGACCCAACCAGGGCCGGGGACAAACTGCAACCAAGATACGTGCCCTTAGCGGGAACTGAACCTCGGTCTCTCTGGACTGCAGGCCAAACCGCTGAACAAAACCGGCCAGGGCTCTCTTCAACTTTTTATATACATTTAGTTTGTCCTTCAAAATGAGAAGTTCTAGTTTAGGCGAAATTACTATACTTTTCCTTAAGAAAACGCATCTTTGTACCTTATGTTTTGTGTAAGTCAAAAACACGTTCTTCTTTCCTTGAATATAGAGTTGTTTCTCTTATTATTTCTAGTAACTTTAATTACACATACTAATTAAATTTTATAACCCTTAGAAACCTTAGTTTTTAGGAAAATCTAAGTAAGCAATTGTAAGGTGTTCTTTAAGTTAGCATTTTGTGAATTGGCAGACATATTTTTTCTAATTTTTAAAAACGTGCTTTCTCGTAGAAAATATGTAAGCATGGCACAAGACAGGTTTACTTATAGATCCAAATTGATCTTTAGTTTCTCTGCAGCAGAGTCACAAGTAGATAAACCTGTTAAGTAATTGATGCTTTACTATTTTATTTAGAAATGATCTAGATATTTAATGGTTATCTATCACTGGATTTTAAATTTTAAACAAAGTTCAATTCTTTTTCCAATATTCTAATATTTTACAGTATCTGGAAGCATTTTGAGAGGAATGGGTGAGTTCTGTGGGACTGGCAAATATGGCAATTGAACTTGGATCTTCAAGAGCCACGTTTTTGCCCCACAGAAATTTGCAAGACAAAGCAGTTGTTTGCATTTCCCCAAAAAACTATATTTCAGCCACAGTGATAAAGAGGTTGACCTGCCTTTCCAATGACAATTTCTCTAATTTACTTATTTTCCTTTGAGTACACAGTTTCATTTTAGCTTAAGAGAGAAAGACTAAAAAACCCTGTCACTCTCTGAATATCAGCTTTCAATTTTGTTACCAAACTAAAGGGGTCCATTTTCTGGACCTCAAAGACCAATAAGACACAAATAGGTGTTTGAAGCAAAGAAAGTGAAAGTGAGGGTTTATTTTTAGGATATGCCCTATGGCTGGAGACTAAGGGAGTTAGGGTCATGGTCAGGGTCATGGTCTCTGCTGATTGGTAGGTGCTAGGGTAGGGGATAATTGATCAGTGCATCTGGTCCTGATGTCAACCATGTGTACAATTCATCTGGTTTTGCCACTTTCCTGGGTCTGGAGATGAAATAACTGAAGCCTAGATGTTATCTTTAGTTTGACTGAAACTCTTATCTCTGGGGTCAACCAAACCAAGGCTTTTTTCCCTAAGATGATGTGATGCTGACCAGAACCTCATCATCTTGAGCACTTAATGATTAAAGGGGTGGTTATGCAAGGGTCGAAGAAGGCAGGTGAGTCAGAGTGTTGGATGAGGCTTGAATCAAGGAAAGAAACAAGGAAAGGTCATATTAAAGAATTGAAGTCTTTGTGTGGTTACAATTTCACCAAATTTCTGGCCATAGAGTTGTCATTAAATGATTAATTCCATTAATTTAAAAATTAGTTTCCCTTCAGCTGTTTAAGGGGATATTATAGCAGTTTATTAGAAATTCCCTCAGAGTCCCCTCAACTTTGTGGAGGTTCACATATGGAGGCATTTAAGTTGATGCAAACAAATTTGCATAGAATCTTTGAGGATACTCTTTTTCAGTCTCAGTTGATTACAATTAAGACATTGATTTCTGGAGCAATATTTTGACAATGGACCCCTAGAAAGGTACAGTGGGGGAAACCTTGAGATTATTTTGGTCCTCTGACCTTAGAGCTGTTGTAGCTGTATACCTAGTTATTAAGTTGGTGGATTTTTGTTTGCTATATTGCTCCAGGTTCCTTTCAAAATGTTCAGTTATATTCATGAGCAGATTCATTCAGGTCTATGGCCTCCCATACTCTTTTCTGCCTTTTTATTTTTTACTAATCTCAGGAGACAAATCCATTTACACAGAAAGTAGCTGAAAGGAGGCTGTATAACCTTATTTATTATATGGAACTCAAATTATCTTTTAAAATGAGCTTCCAAATGTGCTCTAAATTCTACTGCAGATTCATCTTTCTTTTGTTTGCATGACTGAATAAGACCAATTAGTGTGAGCAGGGAAGACATTAGTAATGGCTTGCAAAAGGTTAGTTGTTATTTTGTGAGCCATTTTTGGTTAAGAATTTTGAATAGTCAAGTTGGGGGTTGTAATTTTGTTTTCTGTATCCATTTTTGTTCTTCTCCAGGTCCTACCAACCATGTACAAGCAGATAAAGATCTAGCAGCCCAGGGTCATGGGATCCAACAATGACTCTAAATTACTCAAGGAGGAAAAAAACAAAAAACAAAAACTTCTAGGAAGATTTAGGAAATTTTAAAAAAAATTGTTTTTATTGTTGAAAGTATTACAGATGTCCCCGCTTTTTCCCTCATTAGGTTTAGGAAACTTTTTGACTATAGCTCTCAGTTCAGACTTTGCCCAAGGTGTAAAGCACATCTGAGGAGGCTTATTTAGAGCCTCCAGAGTATTTTTATTGTTGACATTATTACAGATGTCCCTCATTTTCCCCTCTTAAAAGCCAGTTAGAGAAATACAAAGATCACAGTGTTTTCTATTTAAATGGTACTTGTTTAGTAGTCTCTTCAGAGTAGAAAGATTGTTCAGAGAAGCAATTAGTAAAATGTGAGTACTCAGGTAAAAATAGAAAAAAGGGTACATTAGGAGTCATATCTGTAGTCAAGTGTGTCCTAATGTATTTTGTTTCAAGTATGTTTTATGTTTTTAATTTTATTAGCCTTTGAAATGAGTCTTTGAGAGAATCTACTTTGAAATCTTGAAGCCTTTTGTAAGCATCTGAATATCAATTAAAGTAAATGTCACATTTTGTCTCTTCCACTTGGTTTTCCTTGCTCTCAAGTGCATTTCTTAAATAAGTAACTTTGATTGGAACATTTTCCATAAAGGCCATTGTAATTCTAAGACATTTTTAGTAAAAATTTTGCCATTTTCTTAGATATCTGCAGCTTCTGGGACTATAGTCCTTAAACCTAAAATAAACAGGTTTTCCTGAAGGTGCAGCACTCAACTCTTTGGATTTAAAAGTCTTCATTTCTTTCAGCTAGGGTTTCCTCAGAGCCAAAATAATACCTAAGCCCTTTGGCTTCTGAGATTCTTTTTATTATTATTATTATTTTATATTTTTTTATCTTCACCTGAGGACATTTTTCGATATTTTGTTCAGATAGAGTGGGAGGGAGAGAGAGGAAAAGAGAGAGAAACATCGACGTGAAAGGGATTGTTGCCACACGCACGACCCAATCAGGGCCGGAGACAAACTGCAACCAAGGGATGTGCCCTTAGCAGGGAACTGAACCTGGGTCTCTCTGGACTGCAGGCCGAAGCTCTAACCACTGAGAAAACCGGCCAGGACGGCTTCTGAGATTCTTTATTTAGTAATTGCCTTTACCACATGTGCACATTAACATACACCAACTGCCAATAAAATGGAACTGTGGACACCAGCAGTAACTAATGAACTCCGTAATGACAAAACTGAACTAACAGTCCTCAAAGAGTGGGGAGTGCAGACTAACTCCAAGTGGACGTAGACTTGCAGCTTCCACCAGCTGTTCCCAATGTGGAATCCAGAGGCAAAAGCAAGGGCTGGATTTTAGACTTTACTATGGACTAAATAGGACTCGGTCTTATTTCAGACCCAGACCAGTTAAGTCAGACCCACTCTAACTTCAGCCAACACTACCAGCAATTCCCAGTGTAGACTAAACCAGAAAACCTCAGTGAATGGAAGTTATACAATGGAATTTGTCAAGATACCAGTGTGGGAATGCAGACTGAACCAAAGGCTAGGAACTTCAAGTTCCTAATGAAATCATCTGCCAGCTCCAAGTTGATTCATTAAGTCCTGTAATGGAAACTCAATTAAATTGTGAGCGTGAATGCAAAAAGAGCAGAGTTCAAACCAAGAACTCACCAATGACCATCAGAAACAGTGAGAAATATGGTGAATTTAAATGGGGTCACAGGTACCAAGAACGTGTTTCTCATTGTCCTTGAATTTCATCGAAAGTTCACTTTGAATCTATTGTTCCACCAACCTAGTGATGAAAAAAAAATTAACTGAGTAAATTTGAAGACCTAATTGGCTTTATTAAATGATTTATCAATCAAGCAAGGAGTTATGGAAGATGAAAGGCTTTTATAGAAAGCGAAGTTAGACAAGAAAGCCATCAGCAAAAGTTAAATAAAAGTTCAGTGGGGGAAAGTAAGTGTTCAGGTGGTGACAACATCTTATTGGCTGAGCTGTAGAATTTCCATTGGCTGGGATTGTTGCTGGGCTACAAAAATTTCTTCTGCTAGAGTAGTAAGTAGTTGCACTTTCTGTTTAGGAGTGCAAGGTACACCTCTTCCTCTTAGGGTCTATAACTGAATTAACAGGTGCTGTAATTGACACCTTCCGGTTTGGAGTAGTTGAGTGGTAGAGCATGACAGCTTCCTCCAAAGGCCTTTCAGACTATAATTTTATTTGAGGTTTTCTTTTTTTAAAAATTATTTTTATTAAATTATAGATTACATTCACTATTACATTGTATTAGTTTCAGATGTACAGCATAGTGGTTAGACAATCATATAGTTTACAAAGTGTTCCCTCTGATATTTGCAGTACTCACCTGGCCCCATACAGAGTTATTACAATATTATTGACTATATTCCCCATGCTGTAGTTTATAGTCCTGTGACTATTTTAAAACTATTAATCTGTACTTCTAAATCCCTTCACCCCCCCATCCCCTAACCCCCTCTCTGCTCTCAAACATCAATTTGTTTTCTGTATCTATGACTTTGTTTCTG